TAGTTTCAATCAGGTGTTGGAAGGTTTCTTGGGGCATGGCAGCCCATTATTCTCGGAGTGCTGCGCTGAGGAGAGGTATTGATGTAAGTTGGTGAAGCCTGGCACGAAGTCGGAGATCCACAACATCCCAAAGGTGTTCGATAGGATTCAAGTCAGGGCACAGTGCAGCACAGTCCATGACAGGGATGTTGTCTTGTAACCACTCCGCCACAGGCTGTGCTCTATGAACAGGTGCTCGATGGTGTTGATAGATGCAATCGCCATCCCTGAATTGCTTTTCAACAGTGGGAAGCAAGGCGTTTCAAACAGCAACGTAGGCCTGGGCCGTGAGAGTGCCACACGAAACATGGGGTGCAAGCTGCCTCCGTGAAAAATACGACCACACCGTAACACCATTTTGGACGTGTTCGGATACGTTTAATCATACAGTGTACTATTTTTACCCATATTACTTTCAAAATGTTAACTTGTATTATTTATCATTTCATTATCTAGTAGGTATCAAAAGCATACGAAAAAACAATTCTATTGCACTTAAAATTCAAAGATGTTTACATTTCTTCCAAAATATAAATTGATGTTGCAAACCAGTTTCAGGATGTACTTCTTGCGTCCATGGTTCATAATTATTAAGAGTAAACTGCATTTTGATATTGCGAGCCGTTTACTAGTTATTTTGAGTAAACCAGTTTGTAGGTCAGCTAGTATAATACGAATAAAAACCTTCAATGACAAAAGTACGCTGAAGACTTTCTAGGTTATGAAGGGAGAATGAATGATGAGATAAACAAAGTCATTATATTTGGCAATGCACATTTTAAAGAAGTGTCGGAAACTCGAAATATACGTAAATATACGTAGTGGCTTACTTGTATTTATATTCTCTCTCTGTAAACGTCCTAGCATACATTCAGGAAAAAACGAGAAAATCATGGGAGCGTCGTCAAATTTTCTAGCAATAGAGAAACTGCTGTCAGGGTCCTCTGTGCTACGTAGTAAGTTTTTGTAGTAAACGAGAAAGTGAAAATCTCTTTTGAAAACAGCATGAGTGACCAAATTAACAATCTGATATCAATTTATCAGCTACTTTACAAATTGCACACAGACTTCACAAATAAACTTCAACACAAAATACAACCAGAATTTTCCATTTACTTTGCTTTAAATTGTTTACTACCTCTCCGAAAAAATGTGGTAGCACAAACGTCTAGTAATGAAAATGCACAATAGAAGTATAATTTTGATATATACATTATCATAGCCAGATTTGCAGAATGGTTGTTGTATGTTCAATATACCATCACATTCAACAAAAAAATTATCCCCCAATATTAATATTTCACACTGGGATCAAGACAAATAACGTGATTTAGTGCCTCACCTGGATAGTAGCTCCCTCTTCTTGCATATTTTTCAAATACGACTGCCGCTGTTAAACATTTCTTTCTTGACACGAAGACAGTTGTCGATTTTGGCGTAAAACCGATCTCAACACTTGCTTGTTTGTTTATTTATTTCTCAACTAAATCCAAATAATTGTTGGCAATGTTCACACAAAAAAACTACACAACGTATACAACTCTACACTGAAATCATTGAAACTAGTATTTACCGGTGTTGCAAAGACCAGGTAAGTATTACTAGAAAACTTTGTGGCCGTTGCTGCTGCCATCTACCTCCACCGAAACGTAATAGGACGAGGAAATGACCGACCAGGAAATTGGAATGCAGAGTGTGACCTAAGTTGGCGCGCTCTTTCAATTGATGCTCTGGGCATGTTTTCAGAAATATGGAAAGAGATACATTTAGCATAAAAATGTGTGCTAAGAACAATCAAACAATGATGGTCAAAAACAAATAAATAGGGAATGAACAAATCTAGGTCTAAGACATTAAGCACATATTATTAAAACAATATTGAAATATTTATTTTTATTTAATGTATCATATTATTAGAATGAATAATAACGTATATTTATCATTAGATTGTGATTGACACATTCTTTAAATAGAACCATGATTATCTAAAGGTCTTCCGGTTTTAAAGTTTCTCTATTGTAAAAAACAAATCAAAAATTCGAATTTTTAAGTACAGTTTGTATCACAGAGAACTACTGACAAGGTTATAAAGATGTTTCTGGTAAATATTGTTTTTAATGATGTTGAATCGTGTTTCATCATTTGGTGTGTACGAATTCTGTGCATGATATCTTTGATTCTGACAACTAGGGTTTGAATTCAATCTTTCTCTTTCAATTTCAGCACAGCAATGACTTCCAGGATCCTAACTGTGATGAAATTCGTTACCATTGTATATAATTTTTTTAATTATGCAAAGAATACATTTAATTACAACTTATATTCAGAGATTAATGTAATGGTAATAATAGTTCTGATATACATGTTACTGAAAATTCGAAATTATATTTGAAATGTTGCTTATTACCCACTACATATATTCATCACCTCTCTATTAGTTATTTTAACTAACACAGAGTAATATTCTCAATACTGTTAGAATTATTCAATGCTTAATTTAGCGATCTTGGCGATTCAGTCTCATGAATAGATAATATAAAAGAAACTAAAGTTTTTTAAAAACGTTTTGTATGTTATTCTTCAGAATCATCTAATTTAATGACCAAGAACGATAATAAAATATGATGTTAAAGTATTGTAAACAACAAACGTGCCTATAATAATGGGCTGTATGAGATGTGAGGGATTTGCATTCAATAGAGCTGATTCTAAAACGTTTCGAAATAGCTCTTTTCTGAGTGTTTTGGACAAAAATTTGAAAAGCAATATTTCGCTTGTTCTGATCACAAAGGAAAGTGTTTTTGGATAGTGAAGGCTATTTTTTTATTTAATTATACACTCAAACTGAAAATATACCTGTTAGTTCCCAACAACAGAGGAAAGTTGAGATAGATTCAAACGTAGCAATCTTCTTTTAATTCTCGAAATTGAGTTACTGGTACTCTTGACAACCTTGATCATGAAACCTACCTGTATAATATCTCAAATCTCTTAATATTTTCAAAAAAGCTTGCTACTGTTTGTAGCAAGTACATTTTGTAACAGAAATAGAAGTAAATATCAAACCCAGCCATCTCCATAAAACTGGGTTTCAAGGTTGACAATCTTCTAACCTACCAATCAGTGAAGCAAAATGACTGCTTCCAGTAAATACAGAGCATTTACTACAATACGTGAATTGCGCACATATATAAACACTTATATACAATATTTTATTGATACAAACAACGTTAGAGAGATGAACGCGTGCGAACATTCCACGTTTTGTAAATCATCACTGTTTTAAAAGTGAAAATAGATTCATAACAGAAAACAACTTCTAACGACTAGCTCCGGAACTGTCTCCCAATATATAGGTCCGATGCAGTAAGTGTGTAAATATTCTGATATTATTTAGCGTTTATTAACAAATAAAATATTTAGAACTGTGATGATAAAATTGCAAAGAAAATCAAATAGCCAATTTAGTTGTTATCATTATTTGTACGTAAATGGTAAGAGAAATGGTAAGCTATATTAAACGGAATATTTTTTAAAAAAATGGTGGGAATTCTATGGATCAGAAAAAGAAAGTAACAATGAATTACACTGTGATATTGGAAAGGAATAACCTCAACAAAGAATGCATCAGTGACCCACAACTCTTCGTCGACGTCAAGCACCAACGTTCTGCTTTTGACAGAAACAAATGACAGTTTCGATAGACACGAATGATATCGCGTGTTTCTACACTTACGCATAAAAAATAATCTTAGTACAAAATTTGTGCCTCTATTTCATAGTTAAGATGTTTTGCGCTAAAATAAAATTCATAGGGATTTTATTAAAAATTATATATTAAAAATTAATAAAAGAATCTATATTTTATACTGTCGATCGATTTCATTAGTGCTCCCTTTTACTACGTAAATTTGTAAGAGTCGTGGTGGTGCAAAAGTCGATAAAAGTTGTCACTCCAGTGCTGTTCGTTCATAGAATACAACTCGGAAATGTTGTAGAATTTGGCGCCATGAAATTGACAGCCACATGTAAATTACGTGTTGTGTCCGAAGTCAATGTCTGAAAGAATTCAAGTCCTGAATAGAAGCACACAAATTACAAAATAACGTGGCAACTCGTTTTTAGATGTATAAATACATTTTATTAATTTAGTCAAGTAACATAACCGATAATACCAGCCGTTTGTTGTAAAAAATTATTCTAAAGTAGTAGATCAACGCATTGGTTTGGTCTGGAGTATCTTACTCTTGAACAATTTATCCAAAAAAGTCTGAAACGTAAAGTAAATCATCTAACAGAAATCAAAATTCTAATGTAACCACCGTGATTCCCAAACTTTGCGACAAGATCTTCAACATTACATCAAATTTCGTTGCCCACCATTGATTGAGATAAGAAAGAATCCACGGCACATGTCCCCCGCCCCCGTTCGGACGCACAAACTCTCGAAGCCACACGTGCGCCCACAAGACAGATAGCACGTGGTTTTCCCGAGGCGTCAGCTCTTTCAAGCCAGAAGGCAATGCCACGTCTGTCTCCTGAAGAAGTGGTGGACGACGACGGGGAGGAGGAGAAGGGTCCGGAAAAGGAGGAGGGGGAATGGAGGGTATCGAGGTGTGGTGGAAGAGGTGAGGGTGGAGGAGAGGGTTGCAAGACGCGGGGATGGAGAAGGATGAGGTTGAGAAGTTTAGAGTGAGGAGGTGCAGAAAGAAGCTGGGTAAGAGGAGGATGAAAATCCTGAGGTGCGGTGAAGGAGGAAAAAAAAGGAGGAGTAAGAAAAGGAAGTGGGGGAGGAGGAGGGGGCTGGCACGAGGCGGGGGAGATGGGTTGGCAACGGAGCAGTTGGGTTGGAGGCGAGAAGAGGAGGTGGAAATGAAGATCTCCGAGGTAGAGAGGGGGAGGTGAGGCGGAGGGGGGGGCGGTGGAGGGTTTAAAAGCGCGAGAGGCAGCGGAGGGCGCACCTTTGCCGAGATGGGTCGCGTACTGCCTCTTTTGCTCGTCGCCTGCCTGGCGGTGCTCGCCGCCGGCCACAAGTCCCTGGAGGGCTACCGCGTCTATCGCCTGCAGCCCATCACCACCGAGCAGGTACGCACGCTCTGACTCTCTACTTAAACCAATGTTGTTAATTCCAAATAATGCCTATTATTTATTTCGTTTCCGTGACAAATATGACACATATTATATATATAATTATATATATATATATATATATATATATATATATATAATTATATATATATAATATTTATTTGGCTACAATTGGCTGATTGCCAGGTGGTAGCCATAACCCTACAGCTTTACAATATATTATATACTAAATTACATATTACATACTAACATACATATTACATACAAAATTCACGGAAAATTTAACTATGCCGAAAGTCTTTAAGCAACACACCTTCACACTTAATATACAAGCCATCCACTGGAAACCATCTCAGGGGATGGCCACTTTGCATGAAAATAGCGGAGAAAAGACATATGATTCTGGCAGGGAAGAGAGCATCAACTGTCAAAAACACACTGTCAGGACACGAATGTCCTCCCACATTTATTTTTTTTGGTTAAACTCTTCAAAAACTTATGGATGAAGGTAGGAGCGGATACCGTAATGTTCTCTTCCCCCCCCCCCGACTACGAACAAACACTCTGCTAATGTCGATCTTTTGTATACCTATTATCGGATGCTGACTAAACAAAAGTTTTCGTTTTATTTTATCTAGTGTTTTATTTCATTTATGTCCTCTTCTGCTCTTAAAGTTCCATCTGAAAAAACAGCATTTGCATTTAAATATTCTACAAAAATCATTCTAATCTCCCCCGTTGAGGCAAAATTTACATTTTTCCGAAATCACGTTTTTGTAACACGCATTGTAAAAACATAACACACGTACGTTCTTGGAATAAACATTTCGTGCCTTTCGGGGCAAATAGTGAGCGTGTAGTGAACGAGATGCGAGAGGAAGGGTGGGTTGTGCAAGGTGCGTTTGTGCCTCCCGCAGTTCGAATGGGTGCGTGGCATGCAGCATGACCCCGCGCTGGACTTCTGGTCCAACAGCGACGTCATGGTGAGTCCCGAGCGCCAGGAGACCTTCCTGGACCAGCTGCAGCGCGAAGGCATCCAGTGGGAGACCCTCGTCAACGACGTTCAGATGTGAGTCTCATTCTACATCCCTACTTTTTTGTTCTTTCACGTTTCTCGCTCAGGTAAAGGAGCTTAAACCTTCGCGAGGGGCGATGTTGTAACGGTTAGTGTACCGGATTGTTGTATCCAAGTTGGCGGGTTCAAACCCGATCGAAGCCGTGGATTTTTAAGGGCGAAAACGCCTTCCTTCGGAGGGGAAGTAAAGCCGGCTGTCCCATGTTAGTAGATTTACTTGCATGTAAAAGATCTTCAAGCCTAAATGACGCTTCTGAGCTAAATTCTCGCCCTGTTTCTCGCCCAAGAAATACCTCCTATCTCTGCTAGTTAGTGAAAGGAGCGTATCGAAATATGCGTGGGCAGACGGAAAAGCAGGCCTCATGACCTGAGTCTTCCCACGTAAAATAAGGCATTAATTCAATTCAAGTCAATCCTTAAACCGGACATTCTGTCTTGACTCACTTCGATGATTCAAGTGCAATGTCGAAGTAGGCGGACGCGAAGGTTTAGGTTTTTGAGTCCTGCAAAAGGAATGAGTTTTTGTCATCAGGTACTCGTTGTATTGTTAGCGCCTCGTACCTCATATCCGATTCAAAACAGCATGGAAACCAAAATTATTTAACACTCTCATCACGCCCATCTAATGACCAGCAGCCACCCGTCATGAAGTGCAGTGCCAGTGAAGAGCAAATGCAAACCACCTCCCTCCACCACCAACCACCACTAATCTCCTCCCCAGGAACGGGGAAGGCACCAAGGCACAAGCCTTACCAGTCTTTTCAGATCATAAACTGAGAATGGTGACCATCACGTATACTTACATGCCAAATGGTCAGATACTGGCAATGATATGTTAAGTCTTAAGTCTCGGAATAGAAAATAGTTTTTGTTGGTTTAAAATGTTGTGGGATTAATTTATAAAAGTTACTGCACTTTGTTACATAGAATTACGCAATAGAGCAATGCAGATACTGTGAATAATACTTTCGAACTCGTTTCATATGATTTTCTTTCAAAAGGTGAGCAAAAATTAATCTCTTGTTAAGGTCATTAATATATATTATTTTATACTTCTTTTCTTGAATTATGTCATACTTCTTTACACCCCACATAACCAATTTTTGTTGTTGTTATTTAAGATCGCAACAACATCCACGACATTCGCGATCACTACTGGTTTTAACGTTATGGGTAACTGTGGACTGGATGAAATTATGTGGTGGGGATGGGGGTTGAAAGGACGAACACAAATACAACCATGCCTGAGGCGGGACTTAACCCGCAATCCTTCGGCCCGAGATCGCTACGGCACAACTGCCTCTCGGATCGGCTCTCAACAAGTTTGTTAATTTCGAGACTTAAAGTTTCTCGGTCCACATTCTTTTTCGCAGTTTATATGTATGACATTAATAAAAATAAATTGTCAATCTTTTCATCGGGAAAACTCAATTAATATAACTTATTTTCATGACTTAATAAACGAAGACCAAAATTTATACGAAATATTAGCACACAAATCATGAGTGTTTCCTTCATATCTTAACTATCATTGAACGAGTGGCTTCTTATCTTATCGAGCTGAGATTGCATCCACTCTCAAGAGTGAGAAATCTACAATGACCTATTGTTTCTGAACTTAAACTACTTAGCCAGATGAGGCTATTTTAATGGAATGTTAAATTGTTCCACCGAACTTTTGCTTACGTTGTCCTATGCTACAAATACCCGCTTTTAGGGTTTTCCAACAAATTTATGCTACATCATAGTTAATGAGTGATCTAACGGGTTGGATGTCTTCATCATGAGTCAAAAGGGACAAAAAGCCATGCAACGGCGCATTAAAAGCCAGATCTCACACATTCAAATATTTTGATTATGTTGACTACATTTCTGTAATCTGAACGTGTTCAGTTCAAGAAAACTTGCAAACTTTCTACCGGTTTAGTGGAAAGGGCCCATCACAAACCTAAACTATTCTCAAATATATCGTTTCAGCGCTTCAACTGTTTTTATGCACAAGTGTCAACGGAATACTTACTTAATTCAATAGAATTAAGTAGTATATTTTTGCTTTCGGATTTAGCACCACTACACAAACAACAAAATTTAAATACACTCCTACAAATCATTTATCAACTGATCATCAACTAGCATTAATTGGTTGGCTTTCTTTGTGAATAGGAAAATGGGTGATTCAGTCCGCGATACAGCGATTAGATTTGCTTTTTATAATTCGATATCACGGGTCGAAGAAAAACTCAGTTGACCATTTAACTACTGTGCTCAAAGGTCAAAAAAGTTTTCTGTAATTCATATGATACATACGTGTATTATATATTACGTATTTTATTTACGTATATTATTGTATATTACGTATTTTATTTCCAATGAAAACAAGAGAAATCCCATACTATTGACTAGGCTATAAACATTTTAAGATGAAGATATTCTCAATTAACGTTTGGTTTTTTCACACAAAGTTTGCTTACGTTGTTATGAGAAAAAATAATAATAAATGGGAGGGACTTCAAGCTCCTGGGGGATACGCCCTGGGGTTTCGCGAATCCGACCGAGCGACATCTCTTATTTGCGCGCGCGCTTCAATTCATTTTTATTCATTTTGGTTTGGTGCCTTCTTGTAACTCTGTTATTGTCGTCCATGAGTCTAAAGAGAAAATGATGGAGAAAAGGAGTCGAGTGATGATGAACGATTAATTAACTGAAAGGCAGGAGGTACGAGAGATACCCGGGAAAACATGATGAGATCCCAATTTGTCTATCACAAGTACCCCATGGATAGAGCAAGGATCGAACCCGGGACGCGAGTTTGAACTCAACTTGCCCCACAGAAAATGTTAAAAACACTCTCCGCATATTTCTTGGCACATTACCTCTATGGCGATAATGAGGTGAATCATGAGGGACAATTGGTTGAATGAGGATCTGGAGGTTCATCCTAGCGACGAATTTTGACACAGCTTGAGAGTGGCCCCATCTTGTTAAAATGTTTATAACGTAAGAAATAGTATGGGGGTTATGTTGTTTTCACCCGAAAAAGACTATGCAAGTCTCATCGTAAAAAATTACAGAAAATTTGTTTTGGCAGTACTGCCGCCATCTTCTTTGTAACTGAAGGTGCACTGACGATGACGATGACGGTTGAAAAAGATGCCTGTATTAGATAAGACAGAAAACAGGGGCAATTATTCGATCTGAATCTCCATAAAACTGCAATTGTTTCACTAATGTTTGCTTAAATGCAACCGTATTGTAATTAAGAAATCACGTGTAGGTAGTAGTCGCACAAGTGCGACACAGTGATACGGGTGACACAAGGAAATATCCGCTCCATACAGTTAAACCCCTCATCACAAGAAGGAAGAAGGCAGTAGTGAAAAGGCTCTGATATTACACGAGAAGGACCTTAAGGGAAGGCTAGAAAACGAATTAAGATTGACATTGTTCGACTTATCTACATTTTTACTTTAATTTTTTTGGTGAAATCCTCTTATTTCAAATATTCTAATCATTCTTATTCTTTTACTAACACCCTGCTTCATATTTAAACAATACCATTGCTGTTGAAATTGATTGCACGTGCTACTGATTGTTTCGTCTCATACCGCTAGTAACACTATTAAAACTCTTGGCAAGCAACGATGGCCTGAGGCAAGCTATTGCCACTTGCGACTAAGCTTACCACGAATGCCGTAACTCAAATAGTTTAGATGCAGACTGTTTATGTGCGATTTGTTGGTGGCAGGACCATCGACGCCGAGAAGATGCGCCAGCTGATGGCCACCCCCGACGGCATGGGCCGCGCCATCTCCTTCACCAAATACAACCGCTACGACGAGATCCAGGCCTACCTGCAGGAGCTGGCGTCTTCCTACCCCAGCATCGTCACTGTTGGCAGCCTTGGCACCTCGTCTGAGGGCCGCGCCATCCCGCTCATCAAGATCTCCACTGGAGGTAAACCCCTTCACGAGGACGACGTCGAAGTAAAGCAGTTGATTTAGAGGTTCCCCAAGGTTCAGTTGATTGACCCTTTGACGACTGGTCTCCAGGCTTTATTCAAACTGGCAATCCTAATTGGTTCCAACAAATTGGTTCCTTTGAAATGGAGGAACAACGATTATGATTTTGAAAATTCGTTTATCATGGAACATTTGGTGTGAGATATTTTATAAGAAACGCTCCAAGACACGGTAAAATGTCATTACATTTTAGAAATTATTCATTCTTCTTCTTCTTTGTGTATCTAACTACATTCAAATTGAGCAATAGTCTTATTTTATAACTTGTGAGGGTAGTATAAGGAAAATAGCTAACAGTACACGCAAACTGACGTAAAAATGAAGCTGTAATAAATATAGATAATATTAGGAAAAGCTGAAAAGCACCACGAATGGTGACATGTATGTTTTGGTGTTCTATAAGATTTTGTATAATCAACTATTTAAACTTTAAGAAATTCCGCAAATTTCGCACAAACTTTAAGCAACCTGGATCACTGAGACAATAATCGATCATTTTGTTCCATAGAATTTGGGAAAACCGATGCAGATAAGATTATAGATGTGGTGACCGAAACTTCTCTTAAGGGCAATGCTAAAAGCGCAAACATTCCTCGTTCATTAAAGTTGCAAAGCAGATGCGTTACGGTTTGGCCTCTAACGTAGCTTTAAGCTTTGGTGGACATAACGATCAGTGTGTGGGAACCAATCAATGATCTGGTTCAAAGCTGGTCCAATTTGCAGAATCGGAGACAACACAAAAATATTACCTCACATGCCTGACTCTGAAAATGAACTAAACCAGTCTCCTATTGCACATTATAAAAGTTTATATACTAAAATACTCAAGCCTAGTAGACACCTTTGGCGTAACTGCTCAAAGTACTAGTGATTCCTTAGTTCTTGGCGACATATCACGCTTCTGTCACACAGTATCAGGCATAGAACAAGGAAAAAATTAATTAACACTACACTAGCTTGACTGATGTGCGCAGAATGATAGACCGTATTTCATTACTCGTACAAAGTTTTTTTTTTATTAAGGGTAACGTTATCTTATTATATACTTTTATATTTAATCATTGAACCTGGATTACGTGAATTAAACCCAGTTTTACACACTTTGTAATAGAGAATCATACGAACATTTAAAAGATATTCAAATTCTTTAATATTTTGAAATACAATTACGTGAATTAAAGGAAAAAATAAAAATATAAATTAAAGTAACCATGTCTTACAGACATTTGGGGAGAATTATAAAAACATAGTAATCAATAAAAAATAGTATTTGCGTCTGAAACAATTTTTGGTTCTAGAATGAAGAGATGCTATGCAAACATTTGTTCAGCAGTTTCTTTTAAAATATCTTTTTAACACTTAAATATGGTAAAGAATGAAAATTTAAGACTGATCGTACAATTGAGCATTATGATAAGTTTAAAAGTTACAGTGCAAGTGTTCCAACAATTTGCCTATAACTATAACAGAACTTCAATGTCAAACAGTTACACGTTTCTCGGATCGACCGTCTGCACCTCAAAAGAACATCAGACCCTTCCTAGAATTAAATAATTACCGATTGTTTTAAATGTCATCATTTAAATCTTGAAAGGAGAAAATGAAGCCGTTCAATAATCATCTATCTTTCCGCATTAGATTACATTTTTTAGTAGAAATTATTGTTTTCTAACCCTCATTTCGCGGCATGTGTATTGAAGGGTTCCTTGGAGACATGCAGGTCGTCAGGTCTCTTCAGAACAAGATTGCAGACAAATCCGTGATACTTATGTTGATGACGGTAGTGATGTTGATGACGTTGATGTTTATCTGTCCCTCAGGCAACGGGAACCGCCCCGTAGTCTTCGTGGACGCCGGCATCCACGCCCGCGAGTGGATCGCCCCGGCCATGGCCCTCTACATCATCCAGCAGCTGGTGGAGAACCCGTCCAACGCTGACCTCATCGCCAACGTCGACTGGCACATCGTCCCGCTGCTCAACCCCGACGGCTACGAGTACTCGCAGACCTCTGTGAGTACTGAGCTTTGCGTGTTTGTTTAGTCATTCCGGGCTTAGGACCGTGAGACTCTCAGACCCTCAGCTCCAAATGCTTACGATCGAATTCGGAGCTGATACTTATAATGGAAGTTTTAAGTGACCGATTCTACTTAACAAAGTGATCTCGTTCTAAAACGAGAGGTCGAATGTATGACCAAAAAATCCAATAGAGAAGAGTGCCTCGCCCCGTGTATATTTCTCAATCGTCGACTTTGTAACCAGTGTACATAGATTATGACTCTTCGTAGTTTTACAAATGTGACTAAAGAGCGAGTATATATGCTGAGAATATTTTTCCTTTTTTAATACAAAACATACGACGAATTAGCTTATTTTACTACAAAGGATCCGTTAGCAATTTACAATAAACTAGAAACGTATTGTCAAACTCGTGAAACCATGAAACTGAGGATTTGACATATAAAGCGAACTTCTGCTAAATGACTACGCATTATAAGAAAATACCATTTTGCAGAAATATACCTTTATGACCTAAATGTTCTTTCTGAATTTGGAATTAATTTTTTTGGTAATTCTTTTGGATAAATGCAATCATATGGGAGAAGATACAAGAAGCATGTATACGTTACATCGAAAAATAAATTAAGAGTTAGAAAATTAAAGTAATAAAAAGACATTTTTAAAGCCTGACAACGGCCTTCTTCCTTCACGTAATTAACATTCCCATAAACATCCTACATAATACTCGTAATATTTGAGTTTACAAATCATTTTATTGTATCTCTGCAAGTTGCCATTAACGTTACTATTCTACAAGTACGTGAGACTTTCTAAAAATCCATTGTCATTCGTCATTGCAATCAAGTTCCTGTGGATTAGTACGTTTCTGTTGTTCGACGTGTTATATTTCCGGAGGTCCCTGCTAGTTACTTTAGTCACATGATACGAAAACGGTATCGCCTTAACGTGAATGGTAATCGTTTCGTTTCAGTACCGCCTGTGGCGCAAAACACGATCTGTTACCACCCGTTGCACCGGCTCCGACACCAAGAACGGCGTTGATGCCAACCGCAACTTCGACTTCCACTGGATGGGTAAGTGTCGGCACGCGATACTCGTCTCTCGCTTCTCCTTAAAGGGTTACACATACTGGTAACGACTTTGATAAAGATTGAAACTGAGAGAAGGATCTATTTCATTTGAACATCGTAATAAACATGACTAGCAATTTTCAATGGGATTGTCTAATGTTTGTGGAAACTTAATTTGAAAGCGTGTCAAAATTGGGAGTTACTTAGCGACTATGTGTGTGTGCCTGTGTGCCTGTGTGTGTGTGTGTGTGTGTGTGTGTGTGTGTGTGTGTGGTGCGCGCGCGTGCGTGTGTGTATTTGGGTAATAATTGAAGTTTGTTTGAGAGGGAGAGGCATACACAAACACACATATTTTACTTAAGTATTATATCCATTCCCATTTTGTAACGTATGTTATTGACAAAGATTGACTATGCAAATGTGCCGAGATTTGGAGTTACCAAGTGTGTTGGTGAATGAGATAGAGATAGAAACAGAGAAAGAGGGCAATTTCACGTAGGCAACACGTTAAATGCCAACGCCATTGTGCATTGTCCCATCTCGATCAGTTTTTGTCCAGTTTCCCTGACCCATTGAGCAAATGCTGAAATCGCCCCTTATTTTGCTTCTGAACGTTAATGTAGCTTCACTATGAGAACGTTTTGTTGAACTCTCCATTTGCTTGTAATGGTAAGAGTAGAGGTAAGGGTGAGTTGCTATTTAGTTAGCAATGCATAAAAATCATACTTGCAATTCGTGTACCGATGCAAATAAGTTTTCTATAACTCAGAAACGAAAATGACTATTTTTCAAATATTGCTAATAATCCGATTTTTAAAAATTATTTTTAAAATTTATTTTTATTTATTTATGTTAAACTTTCACTCATCTTTCAACTATTTATAATGAAAAAGACGGGAAGGGATTCTGAAACGCAAGAAAACGTGCGCAGATAATCTTTCCCCCCCTACGTCACATACAGTTTTTACTGTTTTTTTTTTTTTTTTGACTGAACAAATCGAATCGAATCAAATTGAATCGAATCGAATCGAATCGAATCAAATTGCAGAGGTCGGCGCCAGCAGCAGCCCTTGCTCCGAGACCTACGCCGGCCCCAGAGGCTTCTCCGAGCCCGAAACCGCCGCCCTGCGCGACTACGTGTCCTCCAACCGCAACATCAAGCTGTACCTCACCTTCCACTCCTACGGCAACGTAAGTATCCGGATGGACAAAAAAAAATGTCAGGGACTCTGCCGCAGTAAGGCATGTAAAATGTCTCGGGGATGCAGAAGACAGTGTTTGTTAATGTTTGTCTTAAAACTAATCCTGTAATTGTGCTCGCTCGAACGACGTCACTATCACTTGGATTGATAGTTGTTTTTTTTATTTAAGGTCGCGTCTACTTCTAGGTCGTTAGCGATCACTATTGCTTGTAACGTTATGGTAACTGTGAGGATGACACGATATAATGATAAGGGGTGAAAGGACGAACACAATATAACCATGCCCGAGGCGGGACTCGAAACCGCGATCCTTCGGTCCGAGATTGCTATGGCACTACTACCTTAGTGATCTCGGCCACCGGATCGGCGGATTGATAATTGTAACGCCAAGATATCTATATTTTCGAGGTCAAGAGTCTTAACTTCATTTTCAGTGATTTTAAGGTTTTGATATCAAAATAATTGCAAGAAAGAAGTTTATCTGAAGGTATACAGTAGTACCGACCAACTTTATTATCGCCTATTCAAGTTCGTTTTATAACAAACCGTAATTCCAATATTACAACTAAGGGAGCTAATAGTTTTCTGTACTTCCTGCAAGGTACTAAAAATGTGAGTTGGGACTGTTGACCTCTGCGTTTCACATATGAGCTTGTGAACGCTAACAGAGGATAAATTTAATTCTTATTGCGGCATGCATGGCGCGACAAGAGTGTCCTCCAACCGCTCCATCTGTGCTGGCGATATGCGTGATCCGTTGATAGCTTTTTCCCACTACACTATACCAAAGGCGTGGAGATAGAATGCTCGCTACGATATAAACAATATTTTTCAATACATTCGATGTTATATTATTGTTTCACCAAGGATTTCTCTGTTAAGCAATTTTAAAGATATTTTTATGCCAATAATGTTTTATTGCAGTGTCATTAAATTCAAAAACTCTCCAAAGAATAACTGTTCATTGCTGGCCAAGCAGGACGCCAAAGACTGTAGGGAAATGTGAAGCGAATGAATGAAGCTGAGTGGTGATGTTACTAAGTGATTATTGTAAAAGTGTGAATTAAAAGTCAGCAGTAATTCGAAGAACTTCGAGTAAATCTTTCAGAAATATTTACTTATCGAACGGTTGGTCCGAACGACTAAAGACAAAAAGTTATCTAATTATCCTTAAATGCAATCTTATTACATGCCAATTATGTAAGTCAAAAAATTCCCTTGTGTATATTTCAACTAAATTTTTGATGTGACGTCTCACATTTTAATTAAAAGTAAAATAACTAAATAAGTAAAGTTGAAACCTTCGTAATAACCAGTTTAATAAAAATACCTTGTTCTACACAAATTACATTTGTTGACTTCAGTGTCCTTCTCGCATCCCGTATATTTCTACCTGCAGCTTTTGAAGGCATTACACGGATCGTTTTCTGTTTCAGTACTTGCTGTACCCATGGGGCTACACTTCCGCTCTCCCCTCTGACTGGCGCGCCCTGGTGAGTACAATCCGCAACTTCACCCTTTTGTACCTGAAAATACACCATGTCCATACTTTAGAATTTCTTAAAATTTGTATAGTTATCAAACTGGAGAATTAATAATATAGTGGAAATGATATCAAAATATCATTACCATATTTGCAATCATGTTAACAATTTTGGCATTTAATAATAACGAGTATAACAATAAATCGTGATTCATATGACGAAACTCTGCAATCTTGCCCGCTCTTGTACTAAGAAGATAGTAACGAAAATACCCAATGATATAAATCTGAAGTTAATGTAGCTTCCCAACACAAGAAGTTCCTTAAAAACGATTTGTGAAAAAAAATTTAAAGAAGAAAATAAATACGTACAGTTATTATGCCGCAATTATATGACAAGTAAAAAAATCCGGGACAAATACTTTTAAGGTTTTGGTGATATTTTTTACGCAAGAATGAGACGTTCAATAATTGACGGATTAAGTAGCAAGCATTATTAAAAGCCTTCACAGGTGTTCTCTTAACAATAATTATTAAAATGTAATAAAATAACAACCAACACTCAGAATTCGTTATTTCGGATTGAACCTATGATTCAGCACATGAACAATGTAATGGAATATTGTTGGAATAGATTGAAAGTGATTGACAGTGACTAAACTCTAGGCAGATACCTCAATAAGTTTCTTAGATATTCGAAGTACCATTGATAAGCTCAAGTTCAGTACTGAGGAAGACACCAATTGACCGCTTGCATCTGCCCGCAGGATGACCTTGCCCGCAAGGCCAACGCTGCCCAGGTGGCTGCTGGAGGCAGCTCCTACGCCGTGGGATCCTCCACCAACGTCCTCTGTGAGTACTCATTGCGCATGCGCACGCCTTTGTGAGTAACACGTAGCTTTCAATACCCATGGAAAGCGAGGGGCCAGGCCTCTTTTAGTACAAACAACTTTATCGAGAGCTTCATTTTACATCGTTCAGCCGTTTGGCTCTTTGAGATGTTAGTTGAATACACAGAATACATAACAAAGACTGACGAACAGACAAGATAAATCGCACAGCTCAGTATCGATAGGGGAAGCTCAATCGAGCGCCTTCAATTGATTTAGTGACTTAAGATACTTCAACGTGATGTGTGAGAAAGAAGTAGAGAGTGCATTACTCACGCAACTTTTCTTGAACGATGACCTTGCTTCCCCCTCTCTGGCACAATAAACAGATGAAGGCGAAGTAGAAACAATTTTCTTTTGAAGACGAGAACTTCTATCGGTTATTTACTCCAAAAATCTAAAGAAATGACCGAAGCAGGTACGAATATATCACAGGAGATACCTCGAACTCCTGATAAAGTTAGAACGCAAATTATTGAGAACGTTACGAAGGCGTGACTGATTCTCCAGAGATTGGCATTGCTTCATAAAATCTAGTGGCCGATTTCGTAACTAATACCTCCACTCTACCCGCATTTCTTCAATCCATCGTTCAATAAAAGTTGAGAGAGTAATACTGGTGTCTACGACTCGAGGTCGGGAGGTATGGGGAACCGGGCCTGAGTAGTCCTCTTATCCGTCGACAGTAAGGGACGGAGATGGGACGTAGAGAAGGATAATCTTCTCCTGCGTCATTCTTGTCGCAGGCAAAGTTCAGCGATTTTTGTTTTCGAACTTTCTTTTTTTATGGACATTGATACAAGAAGAGTATTAACCACACACATATAGCTCCTATTATCCTAATTGACTCTTGTAGACAGTTTAAGAACTAAATTAAAATGCTTTTGAGTGTTAGTTACTCAGAAACGTCAAGTGTCTAATTTTCTAATTTTGCCGGATTTTTAAAACCAACCGTTCCGGGGCTACCAACTTGTGCTACCACTGTGGAGGGTGCATCTCATAGCAGTACTCAGCACTCAGAATTCACATGAAGTGTCCTAGAGAGAGACCGTTCTAAAAGTCACTCGATCGCACACTCTTTTTCCCCTCAACATAATCATCCCCTCACCCCGCGGTGACTGCCACTCCGCTCGGAGCCCAGGAATGACTCGCCGTGATCGCCCGCACTCATTTGACGACCAGTTGAGCTCGCCTTCACTTCCTTCGATTAAAACAGTCTCCCTTCAAGGTCACAAACTGAAAAGTGAGGGGAACACTTTCATCCGTACCGATGCAAATAAGTTTTCTATATCTCAGAAACGAAAATGACTATTTTTCAAATATTGCTAATCTGCGATTTTTAAAATTTATTTTTTATTTATTTATATTAAACTTTTACTCATCGTTCAACTATTTATAGTTGAAATGACGGGAAGGGATTTTGGAACTCAAGAAAACGTGTGCAGATAATATTTTCCACCCCTACGTCACTACAGTTTTTACTGGGTTTTTTTTTTTTTTTTTTTTTTTTTTTTTTTTTTTTTACTGAATAATCTTAAAATCTAATCAATCCAAACGGGAACTTCAATGCCAAAATTTTAAGTTGTAACGAAGCTCGCGATTGGCTCCCCCTCTCCTACCAGCTTGGGACCTCTAAGAAAGGACACACTGTTTTTATCCGAGTATAGAGTTCCTGGTGTTATTGAGACGTTTGTCGTACGCCTTTCATAAACGAATTTGCGAAGTAATAAAATACCTATTTGTTAATACCGTAAATAGTGATATGGTAATAATGATTGAGGCCATCTCCACGAGCCCACATTTCATGCCCTTCTCCACCAATTGATTTTCTTTCAAATTTTATTTCGTGGATACGCTGAGTCGAACACTACTGACCCAACATTATTTACTTGGCTGTCCGGGTGACGCCGCGTCCACGGCGAAGGTGCCGCCGTTTCGGTCGCCATTCTGCCACCTTCCTCAGGGCATTACACCCTGAACGCGGCGTCACCCGGACAGCCTAGCAAATACTGACTCCGGCCGCGGAAGCCTACGCTCTTACTGACCCAACGTTTTAATTATTCTTTTTAGGGTTTTCCTCAGCGCTTGAATGCAAAAACTCAGCTCAGTATCATCAGTTCTTGGGTTCGGTTGGCGCTTGTGTTTCAACGAGTTCTTAACTTAGGTACTTTTGCCTTCAGACGCGGCTGCTGGCGGCAGCGACGACTGGGTGAAGGGTGTCGGCGGCGTGGATCTGTCCTACACCATCGAGCTGCCCGGCGGCGGCATCTACGGCTTCGACCTGCCCGCCTCCGCCATCTCCCGCACCGTCAGCACCTTCTGGCCCGCCGTGCGCGTCTACGGAGAGTACATCGCCGCCCTCTAGGCGCCTCCCCTGCTCCTCCGAATGAAGAGGAGTTCTTTCCTTCTTCTGTGCAATTCCATTGCACTTACAAACGTCTTCCAACAACAATAAATTCCATCTACACGTATTCTTTCTTGTTTCATTTTATTTTAATACAACCCTTATAAATACACTTCTTAACCCCCTGACAGTCTAATTACATTTTCTTCCACTTCCTTATCCCAAATTAAATCCTAATACTTTTATTATTATTTTTTTCTTCTTTATTTAAGGTCGCATCAACTACTAGGTCATTAGCTACCACTATTGCTTGTAACGGAATGGTAACTGTCAGGATGACACGTTATGATAATGATAAGTGGTGAAAGGACGAACACAATAAAACCATGCCCGAGGTGGGACTCGAAACCGCGATCTCGGCCACCGAATCTTTTTTTTTTAATTCTTGTTTGGTGACATTTCCATCAATTTATACGTTTGTGTTTGTTTTTTTATGAAATTGAGAACAAGAGAGAGACCACGGTTAAGTTGTTACGTTATTATTAAGAAAAGCTCTCCCGTGTAAACTCTTAAAAGGTTGTGAGCGAGCCGCGAGCCATTCCACATCAAATCACACAAGAGTTGACAACTTGCGCCTTTTTTCCGTTATATATATATATATATATATATATATATATATATATATATATATATATATATATATATATATATATATATATTTGTTTCATTTAATGCTTTGATATATGAATTTAATTCTTTAAATATTTCCAAATATGTGTCATATTACAGACTATGTAGAATGACCCGATACAATTTTATTCATTTTAATGGTAATCCGAAAACAGTTTTGCTTGTAATTTTCGTAACATTTTAAAATTAATAGTTACCGAATTTTTGCCTGATTTAATTGAGTAAGATCTTATCAGATTCAGGTTTTCAGTGTACAGTGGTTTTATTACTTATTAACAAATTTTGTAAGTCTATTAACTCAATTAAATCAACAATTTTTCTATTAGTTCCTATTAGGTTCTATTTTTTTGCTTGGATATTATAAGAATACCATGTATACCTGCAAATTTGTAACAAAAGAAAACTTAAAGATAAAGATCTTTTTTTAGTGAATAAGATGGTAAATGTTGAACTTCTGGATGTGCCATCTACAAGTAAAATAATACACCAAAATAATACAGAGAAAAAGGAAAACGTGCACTTCAATAATAACAAACTATGTCATTCAGGAAAATGGCCAACAAACCTGAATAAAAATTTTAAAACATTTGAGTATTTAATTGAAGAGGACCCTCTGAATAATGTTCAAATATGAAATTATTCAAAGGATGATTTGGGAAGACGTTTTTCAAAGAGTTATAACAAAAGAAAAATTCTCTTGACCAACAAGTATTTAACGATTGGCTCATATATTTTTCTAAACAAATAACCTTTTTCTGTTTTCCATACAAAGTTTTTCCAAACAGCAATTCACTCTTGAAAGGAAAAAATTTTCAGATTGGATTCATTTATCTAGACACTTAAGTAGCCATGATAAAAGCAATAATCATCTTGAATCAGTTGCAAATTTAATGGAATTGAGAAGAAATGTAAATAATGGGAAAGCTCACTTTGAACAAATTCTGTGTCAGGAAAAAGCATTGGCAGGAAGTTTTGTTGCGAATAGTGCACAATATAAAATAATAAGCTCAAAAAAATGTAGCTCTTGAGGTAGCTATTTAAAAATTTTTGAAAAATATAATGGGAATTTTTTAAAATTAATAGAAATGCAGGTCAGTTTGATCCTATTATCATTTAACATACATCTTCAGAGAGATGGTAAAAAGGGTCCACATTATCTAGGACCTCAAATTCAGAATGATTTGAAGTTGATTTATTGTCAACAGAAGTTAAATAAAAAATTATACAAATGATTCAATATAGTATTTTTTTATAATTCTCGATTGCACTCCTAACTTGAGGTATCAGCAACAGATAACCATTATTACAACATTCATTTCGTTCAATAGTGAAACCCAGAGAGTTGAATTTAAAAAACACTTATTAAGTTTCTGTAGAATTTTTGATTCAACAGACTAACAAATTTCTTGATTAATCATTTAGTTCATCTTAATTCAAATATTAAAAATATAAGAGATCAAGGGTACGATAATGGGGCAAATTTGAGAGGAAAAAATACGAATCTGCAGACCCATATTTTAAATGTAAATCCCAAAGCCTTTTTTGTTCCTTATTGTGCTCATATTTCCAATTTAGTAATTAATGCTGCAACAAAATTTTCATATAGACCATTAACTAAAAGTTCATATTGTATAACTAATTGTGAATAAAGCAGAATTAAGGGGGTACAAAAGTAGACCTCTTTTCTACTTTTCTATGATTCAAAACCTATTTGTAGATTTTTCATCGTCAACCAAAAAGTGAAATGATTGAACAGAAAATATTGTTCAATTTACCCTGAAATCCATTCCTACCACTCGATGGTAATGAAACTATCAAACCATTGCGATTTGGTTTATGAGAAGTTTGCCAAAGCGTATCAGAAATCCATATTGACCAAACTTTTGATGTATCAATTAGATATGAAGCTGAATGCATGATGAAAAAGTTACAAAATTTATTTCTTTGTTATTTATTTGTTCCCTTGTTATTTGTTATGAAATCTTGTCTTCAGTGAACAGTGTCTCAAAAATGTTGCAAAGTTCTGACTTATCTACCGCAACAAATGTTGAAACTTTAGCACTACTTAAAATGAACATTCATACATAGACATAATTTGGTGAAATGCTAAGCACTGCAACTGAATTTGCCAATTCGTGTAATGTAGATGCAGATTTCCTCCACCCACATGCAGGCAAGAAAACAAACCATGTTTGTTTATGAATATGATGATGAGAGTACAATCGATCCAAAAGAGAATTTCCCCATATATTTTTTAATACTATAATTAACACTACAGTTTCATCTATAGAGGAAAGGTTTCAATTGCTTAAAGAGCAAAGTGATGCATTTAATTTCTTATATGACATCAACAAAGTAGCAGAAATGAGAAATCAGTCATATTAAAAAATTGAAAAGATGTAGAACAATAACTGACTGATGAAATCACTACAGATAGTCTAACAGATATAAAAGCAATCTAACTTGCAGATGAACTGAATATAATCACGAAATTTCTGAAATCAAAATCCTTACCAATTGAAGTATTAGAATTCATATACCAAAATAAACTAACCAGGTTATTCTCTAATATTACTGTGTTATTATAAATTTTATTAACTTCGCTAGTTCCAGTAGCCGCCGGGAGACAAACATTTTCGAAACTAAAAATGATTAAAACCTTCCATTCATAAACCATGTCACAAAAAAGACTAACAGATCTAGCAATGATATAAATTGAAAGTGAAATCTGCATGTATTGATTTACAGTGTATCAGAAAAATGTTGCAAGTTTGAAAGTTCAAAAAGTGCCTTGGTAAAATTTTATAAGTTTTATTTATTTTATTTATGCTGATTGTATTTTATTGTATTTTAATATTGTACATAGATTTAATTATTATTTAATAAATAAATCCATAATGACACTTCAATAAATACTATTTTAAACTATTATAGTTTTCTACTTTCAAAAGTATGTAATTAGAGTACTCCTTTTGGAAGCAGAAAAATGTACTTGCACCAGGCCAGCAAACCAGTGTGCAACTAGCCTGGTTGTCAGAGAAATATAATGGAACTTGTGGAGGTCAGAGACACTTAGAATTGTTTGATTATGTTCCTCTAGTGTATCATCACTTTTACAAGTTTTATTTATTTACATCAAAAACAGTTCAAAACTGTGAGTAACATGCTATGGGGAAAAGTGAATTTGAAGTAACATTTATATTCAACAAAAGTGTTTACAAAATGTTTACAACAATGAAATGACTGAAGATTCAATTCTCAGTGACCTGGATGTTATTCAGGTTTTGGATCTCTTTTAAGAAGAATTATTTAAAATAGCTACATACTGCAATATGATTTTGTAATACGAAACTTTAAGAATAAAACCATTAATACATACTATTAATACATAAATTTTCATCTACTATATTTTTTTCTTTCTCTTTACAAAAGTCTACTTACCTTGATTTCAGCAAAATTTTTGTTAACCCATTTTTCACGACAGTGCCTTTTGTTCATGTATATGTCTCCTGCTCTCCTGAGCCTAAAAGACATATTTCAGAAAATAACAACTTTGACTAAGAGCATTTTAGTAAACATACCTCCATATAAAACATGGGATAATTTTTATTTCTTAAGTGATTTTTAACAGTTTCTTAATATGAAACATCTTTCTTGCAAATGATTATTACAAGATACCTCAAAAACATGATGAAGTAAGAAATAATTAAGAAAACAACATAAAAAACTTCAGAAACACCATTTTGGCTTACAAGACCAAGATAAGGGCTACAATAACTAAGAGTAGGGACATTTATATTATTCCTATTGCCTCAATTTTGGCTGGGCGATCTTCAGTTTTTTCTGTATTTTTACATCTTATCAATATGATAACATCTGTTAATGCACACGTTTAATAATGACCATTAAAAGAGACTTACTTTTTTAAGTCTATTTTGATGGTCATAATTTATCATTCAACTTATACATGTTATTTTGTGAAGACACTTTCAATCCTTATTAGACATATATTAAATCAATAGGAAAACCACACAAGCAAGTTATGAAGAAGAAGACTAAGAAAACTATTTCTGGCTACAGCCATGCACCCAAACTAGCTGTTAAATTCAGTGATAATTAAGAAGACCAGTGTGTTAGGAATATGAAACCAAGTGCAAAATTTGTACATGTGATAGTTTTCCCGATAATTAAGTTGACACTAAGATCCTCGTTGCTGGTTTCAATGACTGTCACAAACGGACTATTTTTTTATTAATAAAATTTAATAAAAATTTGTGGCTGTATCTTCAGAAGTTCCTCAGTAAACAGAAGTAGGTCCCTTACTATTTTCACTGTATGTAAATTACTAATATTATAGATTAATGACTAATGCAGATGATTTTTCAGTTATTTGTTGCAACAAAGACTTTGAAAACCAGGAAGAAAAAAAAATTTAATAACCAAAATACTCACTTACTAATGTCAAAACAATCTGAAATTGAATGCTGATAAAACAAAAGGTACACACTTCTACAACATTAGTATGAATAATACTCATAATATTTGCAACATCCAAGTGAATAAGAAGGCCAATAAAAGAATTAGGTGCCATAACTTTCTAGGAATCACCATTGATAAAAATTTATCTCACAATGAACACATAAACATACGTTCTACCATGTTACTTATCAAAATTCTTGAACTCATAATCTCTGTTGACTATGAATAATGTATCCTAATCAGTGTTGTTAATACATGGGCTTGCAGAGCCGCCAATTTTCTAGGGCCCTCGATAGTTCTTAAAAAAATTATTTAATACTAATTTTTTCAAAAAATAAAATAAAAACATATACAAAATTATACATATGATTAAACTACACACCAAAAATTGTCATAATGGAGTGATGTGTCTGGCATCATTGGCTAATATTTATAATATGGAATGTTGTGTCTCAATTTTATTTTGTACAATTCAATAAAAAATTAAAAGTATTTAATTTGTAGTCTTTTCTCAATGTAACTATAAATATGTTGTTCTTACTTACTTCATTGTCTGAATAATATTAAATTCAAACACTAAGAAATGCTTTCAAAATATTTTTAAAAAACTACCAAATAAATGTGAATTGATAGGATTTTCTTCATACTTCATTATCGAAATTGGGGGAATGGGATTGATGAAACAAAGAAAAGGGGCCCCAAAATTAACCTAGGCTCAATGCCCCCAATCATGTTATAACAGCCCTGATCGTAATAGAGTATATAGTACTGAATTTTTTTGGGGGGGATGGGAGGGGGGTGGAAGGGAACAACAAACTGAAATATGAACTGAGTAATGACTGAAGAAAAGAGCACAGAGTGCATATTTGAATTTAAACCGACCCTCTCTCATAAGAATTAATGTACATTAAACTGTTAAACATTTGACTGTGAAATACAAAAATGCAATTATAAAATTTTGATTGTAACGGAACTGTATGCATACAGGCTATGTATTCATAACTAAAAAATAAATAAATAAATAAATAAATAAATAAATAAATAAATAAATAAATAAATAAATAAGTTAAGTAAGTAAAGTAAGTAAGAAGTAAGTATAGAAGTAAGTTACGTAAGTAAGTAAGTAAGTAAGTAATAAGTAAGTAAGTAGAGTAAGTAAGTAAGTAAGTAAGTAAGTAAGTAAGTAAGTAAGTAAATAAATAAAAAGGAAATTCACTCATTAAAATTACAATAGGATATTCAACTCCAAAGCAGCAATACATGAAAATCACATTAAAATTTAATTAAAAAAGTATAAACATTGCGATTAATTTGCAAAGAACATTACAATTTCATTATTGGTAAATTTACCACTAGACTAAGTGGCTTCAGTTATTTGTTACTAGAATTGTTTATTACGGTATAGTGTGAACTAGAAAGACAACACTTGATACCTCCCTTGTAGATATCTATGAGCTGATTAATTAAATTTAGATGTTCCAAAATACTGCAGCTCCCAACTGTCTCATAGCATTTTCTGTAAATATCCTCTATAATTATGAGCTGGGTTACTATTTCGATATAATGAAAAATGACTGAATGTGTACATTTATAGAGCAACAGCAAGTGAACCATAATTTGGAATAAAAAGGTAATGAAAAATTGCAACAATTGGACAAATCATGAAATGCAATCTGCGTTCTATAATGTTGTAAAGTATTAAATAAAAAAATACAGTAAGATCTTAGAATCATAACAGAAGAAACTGCACAAGTTTGTAATATTTATGTTTTTATTTATTAATATAAATTAGAGAAATATTAATACAATTTATGCATATATTTTTTTATGATCCAACTTGGGCAGCATCTGTATCAAAGCTATCATCAACCACTGAAAAAAATCATTAATCTCTGTAGTATATAACACAGAATATATAAACAATACATAGTGTTATTATATAAAGACACCTTATAATTCCTATAGTTCAGTTACGGAAAATACTTCCTTATTTCGGAGATTTTGAATTTAGTTCAATGATACAAATGTTATTTTCTCTGGTTTTCTTTCTATTGGCTGCCTTGTATGTACAAATTACTTCGGTGTTGTGGCTTTCCTGCAAATGGTCGTCATCATTTCGTAATTCACTTGTTTGTTGACGTCTTTCGCCTTCGATCTGGTAAGGTTAGGTTGGCGTGCTTTGCATTTTGTGCTCATTTCGAGATTTGTTGCTGGTAGAATACGTTCTTGGAACGTTAGAAAGTACCTCGGGTTTAATTGCGTTTCTGAAGATGGGTTGTAATGAAGGGGCATGGGATTGCACTTCAATAATGAATGAAGTGGTAATCACGAGCGAGGTATGCATTTGCTAAATTCTATTTTATTGTTTGGAGTTGTTTTGAATATGGTGAGATGACTTGCCCTCTACTTTCTTGTAAACGTCTTTCAGGTGGAGGAGTTATTAAGAGAAACTAAGAAACTTGAAGAGGAACAGGAGATGTTGTTTCTCATTGAGAAACAATTGCTAGACACTCAACACAGACTTCTTCTAATGAAGAAACAACAATTGGAAGAACAAGTAAATAATTTAGTTTCGAAAACTGCGCTGTCTTCCTGAGAAGAAATTAACAGTATTTGTTATAAGCTTTGCTGTTTTGTCATGTAAAACCATCGGTTCTTGCCACAATATTCAATCTATTTATACAATTTTGTTATTGTTGCATAGGAAGGTAGTTTAAATTGAAATTGAGTACTTTAAGTGATATGCAGTCTACTGGTTTTTATTGAAGAAATGTATATACATATGGTGTTTTTGCAATGATCATTGTTGTTTTTTCAGTTTCTTTATTTTGTTTCTTGAGATAGAAGTTAAGGAAGAATCTAGAACAATTTTTTAAGTTAGCACTTTCATTATGTAATCTTTCCTTTTAAAATAACCATTGTAAAATGATCACCAGTATTGCATGTTAGAAACATGTGGATATCAATTTGAGTTCACCAATTTATTTAATTCATTTTGATGAAAGTAGTCATGTAAAGTAATCAAAAAGTGTGGATTGATGAAATCAAATTGGAAGTGTCATCATAGAAAACTAAATGCTTACATAGTTATGCATCAGTCGCTTGCTGCAACTGTGGGGTAACTAAAAATTGGGCAGTAATGAATTGTTCACTTACAGGGCAGTAATGATGGTTCACTTGCTGTTCAAGCCTTAAAAACTCTATTTTTTCTTACCATCTTATAATGACATAACCTTCCTTGAAATTGTAATATTTTCTTTTGGAAAACCTTGTTTTAAATTATGCCATTTGTAATTCAGTTGTGAATAGTTATAATACATTCAGAACTCAAGAAATAAGTGACTCTTAGAAAATATTGGCATCTGAGACATTGCTTCAAAACAAGTTCTCTGATATTTTAATATTGATCATCAAGGTGTTTTTTAAAATTAATTTTACTTGGGCGTAGCAATTTTAATTCCGAGTGGTTTTGAAAAGGCTTTCCGTGGTTTCTTTTGATAGTTGAATTTCATGCTTCTTGTGACTTGTACTTGCATTCATGCGTAGCATGTTAAGTGGTATGTACTTCATGTTTTCAAATCCTGGCAGCTGTAAGTAAAACAAATTTTGATATTATGAAACTCATGTTTTTCCATTCTCACAAGACTGGTAATACTTTTTCATAAATATTTAGGTTAAAGATCTTTTTCATTGTGGATATTTGTCTGCTTTTCTCTTAATCATCAGTCACAAAGAGAAGGAAATAAGACACTGTTTTTGTCTGAATAAATAAAACTTTTACTTTCATTCATATTAAATCTTGAAGTTAGGTATAGAAGGACAGTTAACAAATCTGTTTTGGGTGAGAGTGATTGTTATCATTATTCTGGTATAAAGTATTAAAAAGAACGTGGAGATTAAGTTGAAAGTGTGAACAATGCAATAAAATTTAGATATTTATTCTGTTCTCAGTTAGCAGTCATAATTTGCAGTTGTTTCTGAAGCAACAGCTTAAGTAAATGCTTCATGCAGTAATTTAATTGCTTAATACTCTGGAAGCCCAACGAATTGACCTGCATCAGATGCTGATGTCACGAGAGTATTAAATTATCCAGCATCCCTTTTTTGCTAACAATGTGAAATTTGTTAGCATGATTGACTCTGGTTATAATGAACTTCTGGGAACTTCTATCTTTGGTTTGTGAACAGCACGAACTGCAAAATTCCTCTATCTCTATATATCTTATTCTACCTATATATCTATTTGTCTTAAAAATATCAATTATTTTCAATTGTTTGCTTATTATATTTTTCATAAATAATTTCTCTATAATTGATCCTTCTCCGGATTTCGTACTCTCTCCATACTAGATTGCTCACTCCATACTTTCTTTAAGTATCATAATACAGTCTTGACCCTTTTCTATTCTTCTTGCACTGTGGGAACACTGCCCCACTCTTCGAAGGCCCTTTTACTTACCCAGTAACATACGAGATCCAATTAATTTTCTGTGTTCACTATAGCCGAGATTGTTTCACTATAACCTAATCTTATGCTTATTTGTAATGTAAGTGAAATGGGACCAGTGACTTATGTTCACTATAACTGGGTGTTTACTATATCAGAGTTCACTGTAACTGGAGTTTACTGTATTTGCTTCAGGATTTTTTTTTTTTTTTTTTTTTTTTTTTTTTCTTCCACATTTCAGTTTTGCAACTTCACTGAACCTTATTTTTTCTGAAAAAAGTTTGGTTGATACAGAAAATTCCACATGCATTAGATAGATGTTAAACCTTGTGACTACACACTAATTTAACTACTTAGCATTTCAATTTTATTTATACTATAGTTCTCTTTAATTGAACTTAAACCAGAGTAACGTAGCTTAAGTATGAAAGCTGTGCATGAAATGTGCAAATTTTCTTAGTTATTTTTATAAGCAATAGTGTATATAAGTATTTCTTCAAAATCAACTGTTAAATTGAACAAGATATTGTTTTTGAAACAATATAGTTTTGTATATGATGATAATACATTCATGGGTTATTGAGAAAAATCACACAATACTCTTAGTGGATTGATTTGTTAACTTCATTATTGTTTACATTCTACGACTCAATATTTGTTTTCAATTGCACATCTTTATTTTCATTTAATTTATATTTTGTGTGTGTACTATTGTACTTGTTTTTAAAAAAAACTTAAGTTTACATTTATAGCGAAAAAATTATATTTAGGTTAGAATGAGACTTTAGTTTTAAGTGTTCTTGTACTATTCATTTTTGTATTTAATATTTAAGCTAATGTTTCTAGAATGTACATTTGTTGCATTTAGAGCTAATGTGTGAAACTGTAATTACTATGTAGTATGATTTTAATTTTAACGAAAATTAAAGCTTTTGCCTGAAAATTATTGTTTTGTTTGGAACCTATGAATACACTTGACAGAACTTACTTTAAAGATTAACACATTTACTTCAACACATAACATATTTAACAAAATTATACAGTGGTGCTATGGAAAAGATGGGAAGGACAGAGTTGCAAAAAATTTTGCCATCCATAAATTATGAAACGCTAAAGAGAGGGGAGAGGTCTTGCTGTGTTACCTAGGGTACGGGAGCAATACAGTGTTACGTAATTGCTGATACTTTTAAAATCTTTCAAGGTTTATTGGAACAATTCATTTTATTCAATTCTTGAGCCCTGGCATACCTACCCCGACTCCTTTACTAACATTAGTTGACTACTCTAAAGGATAGGAAAACGTTTTGTTGACAAACTTTGATAACCAGAGGTTTGCTCCTGTCTAATAGAAAATAGTTTGCAACGAAAAACGAGCTACAGATACATAAGTCCTATCAATGAAATAATCAAACTCTCCATTCCTCTCTCATCTAGCGAGATGAGGGCTCAAGAAAACGTGTGTATTTAATAGAATAATGGGGGGGGGGGGAATTCATCAATGATATAGATTGAATGTGATAAATTACGAAGAATATATTCAAAACTGATATTCATTCGTACGCTTTAGTATCCAATTAAATTAGCTCGGTAGACTTGAGCCTGTTTGTCATCCATGACGGTTTGTGCATGGCTTGTCATCAATTTTCTCGCGTACGCGCCCCCCAAAAAAATTCATTCGCTCATTCAAAAATTGTCCCCAATCTTTTCCTGTGCAGTCCGCACCGCCAGCTAATTCTCGCTTTAATTATAAATTTAAATTATATAAACTGAATATTATTCTTTCAATATTCCTTACCTGAATCCCTATATTCACTACACTGAATCTCCGAAAAGTAGACTTTTATGGCTCCCATGGACCCATATTCATACATTTCGTGTTTAGTCTTGTTAAAATATCCATATTGTTTACCCAACATTCTTGCCAAGTGAATCGATTTCTGGCGCGCGAATACACAAAAATTAACATTTTGAATGAAAATAGATTATATACCCTATTATATGTATTTTGCCCTACTATTGCAAAGAGTGTAAAAACAAATGTGCAGATAGAGGAAATAAGACATTTTGGAAACCATCCAAGCGATTTTTTGTAAAGTATCCCCCGAAACGTAGAACATTCGATCAGAATGGCGTCAAGTCGGGCCAGATTCTTTTGAGAAAAGCCTCCGCACGGTTTAAATACTACTAGATTTCAAGAGCAATGAACAAACGTTTTAAGAAAATCTACTTTTTCGGTACAAAAGACCCTCAAAAATAATTTTGACTACTTACCCACGAAATTAATATATTAAGTACAAAAGCAAGAAAAAATCATATTTTGGGTATGAGAGTCTCACACAAATCATCTTTCTCAGAGTCAAAAAGATCACTCCTTCATGGAGCATTACCATACGTTCTGCATATTAAGTGTATTATACAACAATGTTAGTTTAAAGTAATTAGACATGATTCAAAGTTGCAGAGAATTTCTTTCCCTAGTTCCATATTCTTTCCAGTCGGTGAAACCTTTTCAGTTTTGTTCCACCTTTTCTCCGACAAGCATCTATCGGAGATCTATAGGGGTTTCCCGAGATAACTACCCCTACTGTGTGAATAATTCCCAATGACGAGCTCCTTTGTGTTCCCCGAACCTCCCGTCAAAGTAATTCCCCACTCAGAAGTCTGCCTACTCGAAGTAAATTACATTAATCAAGAACAATATGTAGTGTCCTAAAGCAGAAGGAAATGCCACAGGCTGTCATTGTGCAGGTTTTATGTGCAATTCCAAACACATAATATCATCGAGGAAATCTACCTTAGAAGATAGAACGTAAAAGCTGATTTTTTTTCAAAGAACTATATAATTCGTCTACTGTCAGGGAATTAACACACATACTGAGAGGAAATATTTGTGCAAAAACTCTGAAAATATTAAGTTTTGAAATTTAATACCCCTTAACATACAACCAATGTTTTTACAAATGTTACAATGTTTTTACTTGTAGAAAGTTAACGCGTATTTCGAGGCAATGAGTTGTTAGTGCGAACTACCAGACAAAACATTGATGTGTATGGCGGGTTGCATATCTTCCCCGCGCCCATTTCACTATTTGTACACGTACGCAGATACAAAATTACACCCGGACATACACACTTGCGCGCACCAAAACACACATACACACATACGCATGCGATTACGCATACATCCATGCACGCACACGAACACGCACGCACTTTCAAGTGCACAGTTAGTAGGGAGTGAAATAGAAGTAACAGATGTACACTTAAGCTTCACAATGCGAATCTGACCATTTTGCTTGTGGACACTGGGTTGAAAATTAGGAGGGGGTATGACTTAAAAAAAGGCTTTTCAGGATATTTATTGAACGATGGTAAATTACAGCCTGTAGTGTTGGAGGAACACAACAAATGACTGATTTGAATCTTTGTCTAAGACAACTTAACAGCACTGAATATATTTTTCTCAATAATTCGACCACATACACTGCCATGTCAACCCTAGTTGAAAATTACGATATTTTAAAACTATTTTATCCCTGCACTCATTGTTGAGAACTGAGTTGTTATATAAAAGTTATATAGAATGGAATATTGACAGATTATCCCACAACCAAACTGCCAGACTACACCAACGAGGTTAGCATACAGACATTTACAGACAACGAGGCTAACAGACGAACAGATTTACAGAAGAGGCTAACAGCCAAAAATAATGACTAAAATAACGAATCACAATTATAATAAACAGCTGAGGTTAACAAACAAATATATTCACTGACTCACAGGCAATCTGACAAACAGACAGACAAAGAGACGGACTCACAGACAGACTCACAGACAGACTCACAGACAGACTCACAGACAGACTCACAGACAGACTCACA